ATTGAGCAGTACTTTCATGTGGTACTGTTTATTATGCTGTACAAGGTAGTTCTAACTTTTAAGTCTGTGGATAAAACCCTAGTGTGTGACCATTCAAGAGAAAACTACTGAGCAGTACTTTCATGTGGTACTGTTTATTATGCTGTACAACTTTTCGTAATTGTTGTACTTGCCTCTTCCCAACTTATGGTCGATATTCAACTTGTGCCTTCTTTTGAGAAAATAAAAAAAGCCAGTCAAAACCAAGTAAGTTTGAAGACTTGCATGTCACAAAGCCACGTGCCAACAACTAGCGCGTGCGATGGCTGAACCAGCGCTGGCGAAAATTTGGTAAGTAATAGTAATTGGATCGAGTGAAGTGCAATTCAGGGAGCAATCGCGCGAGTAATTTTAAAATCGGACGAGCGCGAACCGCGATGCCGATTTGAAATTACGAGCACGATTACTCCCTGAATTGTACGATACGAGGTCCAATTACTAATTAGTCGTATCTATGACAAATTTCGGAATCAATAATGTCTTTTGAGAACTTCTTTTGAGCGGAAAACTGTAGCGCTTTTCATGAGTTTTAAAACTGTAGGAAACACTGAAAAGGGAGCCATTAAAGCGCGTGTAACTGACGTGCGAATCACGTGGGTATCCAATTACAGGTATCCAATCACAAAAAGTTCAAATTGGGCACCTGTAATTAGACAGCCACGTGATCACGCGCCGATTACGTGACAAATAGGCGCGCGGAGAGCCAATCACGATCGAGAATTTTGTAAAAGATGCCATTACGTATAAAACTGGAAAGCACTAGTCATTTTACAAGCAGATTCCGAAAATTGAAATACTGTGAAATTGGTCCCTCGAAAATCGTGGAATTAAATTGTCGAAAAAATGACATGTACTAACTAACGTATGGAGTTATAGGGAGGGTAGAACAATCTCGACATCAGATTTCTTATTCTACTATTGCTAACAGAGCGGTCACAGTTACGTGTCGTAAAGCCAAAACCAAAGTTATCACTCTTGCAAATCACAAAGGACACAGGCAGTCCAATGAACCAATCAAAACTCAAACCAAATGTATATAGCTGACGCGAAGCGCGGGAAAACGTGTTTGAGCGAGTCACAACTGGTTTGGTTTTTACTTGTGATTTGATGAAAAAGTAGCGCGAGGGTTTTTACTGTGCAGTAAGCCAATTGCGTAACGTTGTAATACAAAACAATTGCTTTGCGACACTCTAGTGAAAACCACTCATCACGAAGCGACAGAAATTGTTAAACATGCAGCAAATTTACAACAGCAAATAAATTGTGACTATTCTGTAAATAAATTATTCTTGGGTAATGATATTTTGTACATTTTGATCCAAAACTGTTCTCCTCTATAGTATCAGTTCGTTCAAATGGCTGTGTGAAATCCAAGCCTTTCTGTGTAATTTCTTCTCATATATACAATATATACAGTAGCAAAAGTAACCATCCAGCCACCCCTCCCTTCTAGTTGATAGTGGCCACACTTGTTCCACCAGAGTCTGAAATGCGCTTGCGCAAAACTCCTACCAATCTTTCTAGCCTGTAGAAACACAAAAGAGCGGAAATAAATCACTCTGTCATCAAAGATTAGAGACGAAATGTACCATGTATAAGACACAGCATGATATCACACCGGATTATCTGTGATCAAGATTTGTTTATTGTGTAACTGTTAGCTACAAAAGACCCTGTCCTATACTAGTTTGTGCTTTTTGCGGTTTTGCTTGATTTTTATTATTATAATTCTCTTACTTGTCAGCTCGTTCCTTTTCTCGCCGTCTGTTTTTTGAAGCTTCTTCCAGCTGTTTTGCGAGGCTTGTCCTTTCTTGTGATACAGCCTTTAGTTTCTCGACTACTTCATCGTAACTTCTCTGTGCTTGTTGAATGTCCGAGTCTCTTGCTCTGAGCCGAGTTTCAAAGCTGTCCATAGTTTGGTTGAACTGATCTCTTAGAGACTGTTCTTGCGACAACGAGCGGTGTAAACTGCGTGGAAATGAAACAATAGTACGCATCAATAAAGAAAAGAGAATCCAAGAGTATAAACAAATGTGTTCTCTTGCGACCAATTCTTCCTTCACGCTTGCCTCCCACCATTGTGGCCCAGTGCCATATATGGGTTGAGTTTGGAGTTGGTTCTCGCCTTGCTCTGAGGGTTTATCTTCAGCAACTCAAGTTTTCCTCCCTCCACAAAAACCAACATCTCCAAATTCCAATTCGACCAGGATAGAGGACCTGCATGAAAACCAGCTAAGACTGATGTGGCTTCCTCTCTAAACATTGTAATTCAAGTTGCATGTTCTATTCTTTACCTGTAATAAACTCGAATAGTTTCCATCTCCTCCTCAAGTCTTTTTGATTTCTTCAATGCTAGATCTCTCTCTTGCTGAGCTTGGACTGACTGCGTCTGTTGAGATGAAAACAAAGTTCTTAAATCTCGCTTCTTATCTTGTGTGTGTGTGTGTGTGTATGGGGGGGGGGGGGG